CAGCGAACAGGAAGATGTCAAGGAGCCAAAGTCCGTCACTTTACTCATCAAGGGCCCAAATACGCACACTATCGCTCAGATCAAGGACGCCGTTCGCGACGGTTTGAGGAGTGTGTACAACATGATCGTCGACGGAAGCGTCGTACCAGGCGGAGGTGCTTTCCAAGTTGCATGCGCGGCTCATCTTGAGAGCGAGCAATTCAAGAAGACGGTCAAGGGTAAAGCAAAGTGGGGTGTCTCAGCTTTTGCGGACGCTCTGCTTGTCATTCCCAAGACCCTGGCAGCCAACTCAGGTCATGATATCCAAGACTCACGTAAGTATCGCGTTGCCTCCCTTCGTTGAACTGTACTTACTAGGTGACAGTGGCTGTACTGCAAGACGAGCATGCCGAGGGTAATGTTGTTGGTCTGAACCTTGCAACCGGAGAGGCTATGGACCCGACCCAAGAAGGTGTCTTCGATTCATTCCGAGTTCTGCGTAACGCCATAGCATCTGCCACCGGTATCGCATCAAACTTGCTGCTATGCGACGAGATGCTGAAGGCACGACAAATGGTGAGTAGAAGCACGTGCTATGCGATGGCTGAAGCTAATTGATGAACAGGGACGACAACCTGGACCTGGCGGCGAGGATCAATAATCACGTCGCATTATCTCTGGACGATCAGATACGCCACCGCAGCATTCTTGCCGGCGCACTGTTCTAGCCACATAGAAGCTCAGAACAAGCGGACAGCTGGAGGAAAAGCTACATCGTGGGTCACAACTTGATCCGCGCGGGTGTTGCACGCCGCCTGTCTAAATAGATTAAAATAATACGACCACGTCACATGGCCAAACTAGCTCTGTGGAGAGTGACTGTGTTTTATTTTCTGTTTTCTTCTTCAGAGTCAAGACTTGCTACTTGTCGAGTCGTCGCGTAAAGAGACTTCGTTCACGAGGGAGGGATGGGTTCTGCACGCTGAAACACGTGCAAAGATTCCCACCTGGGCAATACTGGACCCCTATCCGGGCATGCCGACCAGGGTGATTTAAGCTTAAATTTAGCGTTCGGCTAGGACGGATGCTGCTCTGGTGCGGGGGCATGGCCTCGGTAGCGCAGGGCATCGTGAAGCTGGGAGAGTGCCGAATGGGTAGCGACAGCAATGAATACGTGTCTTGTGAGAAGACAGGTCCCAAGACTCCTTGTACTGTACTTGCATGTCTACATATTCTGAATCAGCGATGCACTTGGCGTGCAAAAGATCTACAACAGACCCATCAATAGATCTCCAGGGCGTGCATGCCAAGCCTGTTGGAAACAAGACGGCCAAAACAGCCACTGTCGTTCACTCGCTGGCTAGTAGCTCGAACTCTTGCTTCCTTCCCCCTCGTTCGCGCTCCGATGGCAGTGACAACGTAGTCATACCATACGCTCCTTCCACACTCATTCCCCATCCGGCGACGCAGCGCAACCGATACCCGCATTTCGATTCCACACACTCCCTCGGGCCATGTTTCGATATCGACGTTACCGCGCCTTCTTAGTCTTCGCTGTCATTGCTGTACTAGCGCTATACAAATTTGGGGGCTCAACCGCAGCATGGAGAGAAGCCGCATCGAATGCGGTTGGGGCAGCTGGCCTGAAAGGCGACGCTGAGGAGGCTCCGCAGGCGGACACGAAGCCGCGCCCTGCTGTGGCGCACGAGACGAGGAGTCTGAAGCTGGATGTGCCCGCTGCCAGCACGTCGCATTCGCTTCAGACGCCACCTCCCGTGAAGACACCGGCTGCATCGTCGACATTGAGCCCTGCTGTCACAGAGCAGCAGCAGAAGCCCTCTATCCCTACACCCATCCGACCGCAGCCTCACGGCCAGCCCGCTATCGCGAACCCTGCATTAGAACCATCATCGATCATCGATGCGATCCACTGGACGAAGCTTCCGGAGCATTTCCCCGTAGCCCCCGAATCGCTCATCAAGCTGCCATCGGGCACTCCCAAAACGATACCAAAGATACAAGCCAAATTCAAGAAGGAAGATGACATAGCCAAGGTTGACAGGATTGCAAAGCTGGATAAGATCAGAAGTGTGGCAAAGAAGTCATGGGAAGGATACAAGGCGAATGCCTGGCTGCACGACGAGCTGCGGCCACAGTCGGGCACTTTCAGAGATCCTTTCGCACACTGGGGCGCAACGCTGGTCGACGCCTTGGATACTCTGTGGATCATGGGGCTGAAAGACGAGTTCGAAGAGGCAGTTAAAGCAGTGGACAAGATCGATTTCACCACCACCCCACGCGCAGATATTCCCTTGTTCGAGACGACAATTCGCTATCTCGGTGGGCTGCTGGCTGCCTACGACTTGAGCGAAAAGGAGTACAAGAACTTGCTAAGCAAGGCAGTGGAGCTTGCCGAAATTCTCATCAGCGCCTTTGACACACCGAACCGCATGCCAGAGACATACTATTATTGGAGACCCGATTTTGCATCCCAACAGCACCGCGCTAGTTCACACGTTGTTCTTGCCGAGATAGGCTCCCTCTCTATGGAATTCACCCGACTTGCGCAGCTCACGGGTGAGCACAAATACTACGATGCTATTGCGCGCATCATGGATCATCTCGAAGAATTCCAAGGCAAAACTCAACTCCCCGGGATGTGGCCTACATACCTGGACGCTTCCGGGTGTGGGAGACAATACATCGATTTGCCTCCTCAAGAGCCTCTCAAAGCCCCAGCAGATTACCTACATGATCAGCTATCGACCCAGGCCGATCCGGCTACGCCTTCTCCCACCGAGGAACTATCTCCGGACGGCAAGAAATACGTGCCTTTGGATTTGCCAGAGCCAGTCATGCTTGCGTCAGACGACTCTCCAGTCGACTCGAGCGCAAAGGAAGAGTCTATAGTCCCTGGAACGGCCGGGAAGGCACAAATCAAGAATTGGGACAGTAGTCCGGTGGAAAGGCGACAGCTTGATGTCGATGGATCTGAGCCACCAAAGGGGGCGCTCAATGCCCAGGGGCCCACTTCGACCTCATCTGCCTCCAGCACCAGGCCGACACCCCCAGAGTGCATACCCCAAGGATTCACATCGAGCTCCAGCTATGGCCGCGAAGAGTTCACGCTTGGCGGCATGTCAGACTCTACATACGAATATCTACCAAAACAGTACTTGCTCCTCGGTGGTCAGATCGAGAAGTACCGGTCCATGTACGAACAGTCGATGGATGTTGTCAAGAAGCACTTGCTTTTCCGACCGATGCTTCCGAAAGGGGAAGACGTTCTCTTCTCCGGCAAATTGAATGTCCCGTCCAATATTGACGATGCTAAAATGGGTGACCTTACCGCTGAAAACGCGCATCTCACCTGTTTTGCCGGTGGCATGTTTGGCATGGGCGCAAAGCTATTTGATCGCCCCGATGATCTCGAGATCGCGAAGAAGCTGACGGAGGGCTGCGTCTGGAGTTACAGCATGACACCAACCGGCATCATGCCGGAGTCGTTCGAGGTCGCCCCTTGTGAGGACAGGAAGGACTGTGCGTGGAACGAGACTGCTTATTGGGAGTACATCGACCCACGGTACGAGTCTCGAATGGAGAGTTACAAAGAGCAGCGCAAAGTATACGAGTCGCAGATTCACTCTGCTTCATCGTGGTACGAAGCGCAACTGGCTGCTATGACCGCACTACCTACACCTACCCCAGCTGCAGCAGTTGAAGCCAAGGCCACGTCTACCATGGTATTCGCTGATACGCTAGATAAGCGTCAACTCGCCGGGCTAGTGGATGATGTGGAAATTGCACACATGCCGTCTGCTTCTGCGAGCGCCCTGCAAGATCACGAATCAGTTATGGGTGGGGAGTCTGAGGAAGGCGAGGGTCCGCCAACCAAAGTTCAGCCTGCACTGAACATTGCGGAACTTGCGCCGCAGCCTGATCTGACTTTGCCAAACTTCCCATACGTCTACTCGCCGCAGCCAGTCCTGGATCACAAAGACTTCGTCCAGAACAGGATTCAAGAGGGTCGTCTACCGCCCGGCGTTACAACGATCGGGTCAAAGAGTTACATTCTCCGGTAAGTCTCTGACTCCCAAACTGTATCTTAGCTTGATATCTAACATTTTCATAGCCCCGAAGCGATAGAGTCCGTCTGGTACATGTACCGCATAACTGGCGATCGTCACTGGCGCGACGCAGGTTGGCGCATGTTCCTTGCCATTGAGCAACACACGACCACTGAGTACGGTAACTCGGCCATTGACGACGTTACCAAGCTAGTGCCCGAACTCAGCGACGAGATGGAGAGTTTCTGGTTAGCAGAGACACTGAAGTACTTCTACCTGCTGTTTGCAGAGGAAGATGTGATTAGCTTGGATGAATGGGTATTGAATACCGAGGCACATCCTTTCAAACGACCTACATAGATGGTATGAGTTGGTTTGGATAACTATCCAATGTTTCTGTATGGAGTTTGAGGAGTTGGTATCATCGTGACTGCAATGGACAGTCTTCATCAACATTCAGTATCTTCAAGTCCTGCAACAGAACCTGTGAGCCGAGTACAGTAACGTTTCTACTATACAGCAGCCCAAAATAAGGACCGAGGGCAACTCAAATGACATTGTAGATTCCTGGACGACGTACTGACTGTCAGGTCCTGGCCCACAAGGGCCCGGGCTGACTCAGCCTTGGGCATAAATACCTCGTAATCGCTATCGTGGCTCGGTAGCGATTTGTCTCTAGTCTTTTAGAACAATACACCTAATTAGTCTCTAATATCGGGTATCTAGTATTTAACTAACTCTATTGTTTGACACTGACACGCATTGTATCTTATACTTAGGAGTAGCAGGTACAATAGAGGAATGTAAACTAAAAGGCTAGGTTTCGAGATCGTATCTAGACAGTACATAGGGCCAGCCCTAGTGTAATCAGACAAACGGCTGCCAAATTCTTCCTACCTCCGCTTCCTCTCTCGATTCATATCACCGGCTCTTGTAGAGTTGTCTCCCGATATCTCAGCGCTTCTCACTGGCAGTAAGCTGAGAATCGATTATATGCTGGGAATGTCGAGTAGCATCGTCGCCTGGTAGCTCGACGGGTGGCAGGTCCACACTCTTCTTGTCACCGAGCTCCTGTGGTGCTATGTTCTTCGAGTCCATCTCATGTTTGGGGCCTTGGTGTGGCATTTCGGCCATTGCGCTCCTTCCATCAACTTCCCGTCGCTCATCCACAGGAGCTTCCGGTGGTTGGCCAGGCTTTTTGGTCCGACGGAGAAGCAGAAAGACGGCGGCAGCGATGAGAGCGAGCCCGCATACGCCGCCAACTACACCACCAGCTATAACACCAGTGTTGCTCTTGCGAGGCTTGCTTGCTACGCTAGGCGACGGCGTCGAAGACGGAGACGTCGATGGTGTCGCAGATGGCGTTGCAGAGCGGGACGATGACGATATTTCGCTAGGTGGTGTACACGCGTCGATGCTGTAGTAGACGAAGGACGAATTGTGGCAATCCCCTATGCTCGTGAACTGGAGGACTGTCGATGAGCATGGCACAAACTCTTCGCTATCGGCTCCGTAAATCGTCGCTGGTATGGTCAACGACTGAAACTCCTCGCAAAGTTCAGGACTTCGCTCTTACCACTGCAGCCTGGGTCCAGTCCGACGACTTGGAAGCTTCCGTATTTGCCTTGGTCCGCAAGCCTCGTGCAAGTACCATTGGGCTGGTTGCAAACGTTCAGTATGTCTCATGCAGCTCGTATGGTAAAACTTACATAGCCATTCTCCGCGTCGAGGCTCTGGAAGGCGTTTTTGCACTGGCTATCTGTGAACGTCGCAATTCTCGAGCTAGAACCAACTTGAAGAAGAAAAGCGAAAGGCACAAGGCTGAAGGTCATCAAAGACTTGAAGCTCGAATACGCCATGATGGTGCAAAGTGAAAAGGCCTTGCTTGATACGAGTGCCGCTGATGGCTTGCTTGAGTCCGGAAGCGTTGCAGCAGGAGAATCGAGAAGTGGGCGGAAGCATATTGCTCGTAACTGCGGCTCACTTGTCTGAATCTAGAAAGTTGCTCCATCTTCACAGGTCCAGTATGCGATAAGAAATGATCGCTGCAAGAAAATAAGCCAGCCTGATCACCCCTGTTGCTGTCAGCCTATCGTAGTCCGGGGAAGCACACATACGTAGGCGAAGAGCTAGCCCGGGAGCTGAACTCGCGCCGTACAAGGCAGTTCTCTAGAGAGCATCCTGCATCCGGCGCTCAATCAGTATGCCGTGATACCGAACTAATGCGCCATCAACCCCATGAGATGCGTGTTCATTGGCTCCCGCAGCGGTTGGCCCCGACACGGCACGCTCCCGGCTTTAGTTTACGTAGCCTTCTCCCGCGGAGACGGTTCGCAGTAATTAATGTCATGTCATCTGTTCAGCTTCGTCAGCCTTAGGCATGGTGTGAGCAAACACATCGTGACGAAGCAGGCAATTTACGTTCAAGGCCGTGGAATACGAGCGGAAGAGCGATCTTGGACCCCCGACCCGCCATTCGTGTCTGGCATCGGATCGTCATATTCTAATTGTAGCAAATGCGCCCTCATTAGATGCAGAGCCTTGTCCAAAAATGGAATTTTGTTGTCAGAACTAATGTCGATGGGAGTAATGGCTATACAGCCTCTTCATCAGGTCTCCACCGACATTTGGTGTGGGGAGGAGTATAAAGTCTATCCGATCAGCTCGAGAAAGTTCTCAGATCAATCCAAGGCTCACGGAAAGAATCATATCAAGCCTAGCCATCATCATGCGCGCTTCAGTACTCGTTGCACTATCGTCCTTTAGCCTTGCGGCTTTTGGCTGCACCAAAGTGACCAAGGTCACCCATACTTACTACGGGCATGTCAATAGGCGAAAACCCTGGCTAAGTATTTCAGACTAACAGTGGCCAGGTACCCCGATAATGACCCTCCAGGTCCGGCGACTGCCTACGACTGCGGCCGTGGTTTCCAGGCTGGCGGTACGGGCACCTATGCCGACCCCCTGACCTTTGCCTCTGCCCCTGGCGAGTTCAACCAGTGTGAGATCATATACGATCCGTACACGAAAAAGTACTTGCGCTTCGAGGACTTCTGCGCTCAGTGCGACACGGACTGGAAAGCTAGCCCGCGCATCAACCACATCGATCTCTGGACTGGCAGTACTACTGTGAATGGTGGCCAGGAACAAATCCAGTGTGAGAACGATCTTACGCCAGCAGAGAGGAGCCAGACTATCGTGAGACAGCCGAGCCAGAATCTCCCAGTGGACAGTAAGTCGCGAGCCATAACGAGGCTCTGGGAAGAGGCTGACATGAGATATCAGCGACCAAACTGTACGTCAAAGGTGCCAGCCCGGCCTGCCGAACCAGTCACGTCTTCCCCAGTTACAACATTGGAGACTATTGCTAGACCCCATAGAGTATTTTCCAGGGTCCAAGAGTCTCAGTGCGATTCGTTCGATGGACTCGGTAACTTTACAGTCGTTTCCGTATCATAGTGAATAAAAGAATGTCGATGAGCTTTCTGAAGTGCTGATCCGGATCTCTTGGCTGCAAAGCTTAGCACATTGGCATGTCATCTTCGTGTTTGACCCTATGGACGTACCATGCTGCATTTTCTCTCGCTTGCGAAGCTCGTCGGCTTCACAAGTGTCAAATCTGTTGGCAGGGTAAAGAAAGGGACAGTGCATGTCGCAACACGCGTCTGATTAGCATTATCCTGATAGAGGGTGCCCTTTTCTTTTGCACATGTATTTCGCAGACGTGTTTAAAACAGTGGTGTTGGTTGTAGTGGTAGTGATGCATGCCGAGGAACTGTTACGCCGCAATGGCGCGTTCCTGAGGCAGCGCGATTACGTGGGCCTAGCCCCTCAGATGACGCGCTGGACACCGCGCTGCATCGTCGACCCAACCACAACACACGAGCTCCATTCTGGGAGCGTACGCGTCAACCTTTGTCAACCAGTCTTCTGATGGTTTCGTCTGAATACCCCACTGTGTATGTACATGAAAAGACGAAGCTCGTCCAATCCCGGGAGAATCGCGTGTCCGCCTAGGCAAACGCGACTCACTTCGCGGAGAATTGCGCAACCAGTATTTTGTCCATGCTGAACTTTCTGATCATAAAGCTGACGATGAGCGCAGTAGCTGAGAGACCTGTGACCATGACGAAGACCGAATCGAACCCTCTCATGTACGAAGAAAGAATGGCACTTTTCTGCGGGGAGTCCGCCATTTTGCGCAAGACGAAGATGTATTGCTCGGAGTCATGAGCGATCGACGTGGGCAGGCCTAGCTCTGAAAGCTTGTCGGACATGGAGTTGGAGAAGACCGACCCTGCGAGCTTGAAGGAGTCAGCACTAGGAAAGGAGATCGGATGAAGGCTCAACTTACGGCAACACCGATGGGCATACCCAGGCTTCGGAGAAAGCCATACATGCTCGCGGCCATTGCCGCGTCTTCTGGCTTGGAAATAGCCTGAATGCCGACATTGAGACTTGTCAGTACCATGCCCATGCCAATTCCTAACACGGCAAGAAGCGCTGACGTGACAACAGTTGTTGAATCTACGTCGAGCATAACCTGCAATCCGCACGCAAGTGTCGTAACCATCCAGCCACCCCAAATTGCCCATCGGAAGCGTCCAAGACGCGTCGTCAATATCGAGACAATGACTGAACTGGGAACCGTGAGGAGGACGACCGGCAGCATGTCAATACCCGCCTGGGTAGGATATCTCCCGCGAACACTCATATCGTAGAATGGCCAATAGTACAAGGTCGTGAAGAGCTTGATATGTGAGCTTTTATCTGGGTGATGACTGGATGGGAACTTACTAGTAGGCCATTTATCAGCGCGTTGTAAAAAGCGGCGATTGCGCTCCAGCTTCCGAACACTGCCAAAGGCAATAGGGTGTGCTCTTTTCTGTACCATTGCCACAGGAAGAACGCAACGATTCCTGTCATCCCCGCGATGATAGGTGCAAGAGTCGCAACTGAGTCCCAGGGATGCTGGATGCCGCCCCAAGAGATTCCAATCAACAAGCTCGTCATGCTGCCAATGAAGAGTACTGCGCCCAGCCAATCCACCCGCTTGAGCTTCTCCTGGAATGTGAGTTTCGCCACCGCGTCAAGGCGCACGAACAAGATCGCAACAGCGAAGCCGATAGCGCAGAATGGATAGTTGATGTGGAATGCCCATCGCCAGGATGCGCTTTCCACAAGCTTACCACCAACTACGGGTCCGATGATGGACCCTATGCTCCAGCATCCGAGAACCATCGCGAAGTATTTCGGGCGTTGTCTCAGCGGCACGATGTCGCAAAAGATGACTTGTGTTAACGTTATAATCCCACCACCACCAATTCCTTGGATGCATCTTCCTCCGAGCAGCTCAGTGAAATTGTCTGCGACCGAGCATAGTATCGTACCTGGATTGTAGAGGCATGGTTAGCGACCATCCACGACACAGAATGGCATTCAGACTTACCGACTGTGAAGAAGAGGAGCGAGGTGATGAGGAGCTGTTGCCGGCCGAAGACAGCGGATATCGATGCGATGACCGGCTGGAAGATGGCAGAGGTGAGAAGGTACGATGTTCCCGTCCAGAACGCTTCAGCCGAAGTACCATCAAGCTTTTGTGCTATTACCTGTGGAGTATATCAGAAATTCCTTGCGGCACTGAGCAAGAGGATGACTGACCGGTAGTACCGTGACTAGGATTGTGGCATCCAGCGCCACCATCAATGATATGAAGCTTAGACTGATCATGATTACCAGCTCCTTCTTTTGTGGCTTCCATACATCGGGCATCTGAGTCTCGCCTCTCCTTCCAAAGTTCTCCAAGGACATATTGTCGGTCATCCACAGCGAGTGGGCAGATACTGGATCTTTGGCAGACGAGGCTGTAATGTCTTTCGAAAATTCTGGCCAATCATTTGGTTCTAAAACAGTCAGTGGAAAATCTTCAGAAGCCTGAACTCTCGCTGAGGTGTGCCCGAGTCCCCCAGCATTGGACACAAGCGAACTTTATGGGCTGTGGACTCAGCCATCGACACCATAGCACTACGAAGCGCCATGCACACTACTGTACGGTGATATAAGAGTTCGGATGTACAGCCCTGCTCTGCGATATGCTTACCTGTGTTAAGCCTGATGTTGTCCTGTTTCCACGCACCACCAGGCTCACTGTATTCATCGGTGGGCGTACTGCAGGAAGAGTCCCACTTGTCAAAGGTCGTCTCGTTCGGATGACTACCGGCCGCCATTGGGGGCGAAATAGGAGGAACGAGGATTGGGCAAAAGATCACTTCTCTTGGAGACAGAGTGAGTGATATGGTGGCCTCGGAGTCGATTGGGCAGTAAAGACCGGTGTCGATCTAGCTTCAGAGGTCGAACTCTAGTTGAGAGATTGGTTTACAGCGAGCGCCCGCTTCTATGGTCGAGGCTCACCTAAACACATATGCAGCTCCCGGATTGTGATTGCGTCGTAGGCATTGAACATTGTGGCACTAATTCACGATGTCGTTGTTTTGCCTTCGCGCCCAGGCCGACCGCATGTCTGAACGAGCTCTCCCAAACCTACGAGAAAAAAAGAACTTGGTCCCCTTAGGGTAGCAGTCGTGGCATATCTTGACACGGGTGGTTGTTTTGATGATCGCTGCAAACGGCCAGCGCGATCCGGCTTCTACGTTGACACGTGCTCTTAGCCAGTCGAGGCCCGACTTCGTAGAATCGCACACTAAGGCAACTTGAAGGACCCAAGGCGCAGCAAATGTGTCTGGGGCTATCTGGCACCCACTTCTATGCTGTCAGATAGTAGCCTCAGCCAAGCCTTGTACCAGGTCGACGAATCATGTCGCTCATTGTCAGCACGGCAACTAGTGTTGGCCTTGACTTCGCGCAGCGGTGAAGCGCATCTACCACTGCACTCCCGCGGTGTTGCACAGTCCAAAATGTGGCTGGTCTGCCAAAAGAATGTGGGGGGGCCGTACTCGAAGGGGCGCATAAGCCTCACGGACACCAAGCGTTTCCGAGATCCTCGCCTAGGGGCTTTTTGCTATTGAGAACCGTCCCAACTGAATAACGGCACCGGGACAAGACCCGTGTGCGCTTCAGTATGTTTTGCAGAACAGAACGTGCACAGCCTTTCTCCTTTCAGACCATGGTCGGCCGCCGTACCCTCTCGCTGACTAGTAACCGAATAGGAAACATGAAGCGAGCTAAAGAAAGTCCACTGCAAGGTCGATCAATCCTATGGAAATTTCCGCCCGACCTCCAGCGCCCTACGCATACGCAATTGACATCAACAAGTCTCTGATTGCGTATCGGTTGGCTTCCGGCATCCCGATGTGTTTATGCTGGATCCCGCAAGTTCTCATCTCCTTGCTTTGTTCAGAATTCTTGCCACAGTGACAATACACAGAGTCTTTCAATCTCTTTACATTGGACATATCAACAACCAAAGAAGGTGGCGTTGTATCCAGAACCGCCTCACTATCGTCACCAGCCTCTTTGGACTTCTTTATCTCCGCATCGGGAACCACCTCTTCGATGACTATCATGCCAAACCACAAGACTACCAACGATACGATCCCTGACTTTGAGCTCATCGCTCCCTCCATATGGGTTTATGATCCGCAACTATCATTTCGTGCTACACCTTTCTCATCGCAAAATGGTGTGGCACCGTCACTTATTCTGCTATGCACATGGACAGGAGCCCAGAACCGTTACATCGCCAAGTACACAGCAGAATACAGAACTCTTTTCCCTTCATCGCGTATCATGGTTATCACAACCTCCGCGAAAGATCTCTGCTTCAGAAACTCCTCACGCAAACAGTGGCGCATGAGACCCGCCATCGAACACATCTCCAGCTACCGGTACCTGGCTGCCCAAAAGTTCAATAGTGGAATACTGCTCCACGTTTTCTCTGAAGGAGGAAGCAACAAAGCCTGCGAGTTAGCAGAGGCTCACTACAGGTTCACCGAGACACGGCTTCCGGTCTCAGCCTTGTGTTTAGACAGCACACCAGGCCACCCACGCTATCTACGCTTATGCGAGGCCCTCAACAAATCGCTACCTCAGATACCGGTTGTGCGTCACATTGCTATACTATTCGTCAGTGTAGTGCTGGGCTGCATATGGATTTTGTACACCGGTATCAAAGGATACGAGAACAACGTCATCAGTCGAACTCGAAAGCGTATCAATGATCCTATCTATTTCGACCCCACAGCACCACGTTGCTATCTTTACTCAAAAAGCGATACGCTTATCGCTTGGCAAGATGTCTACGAGCATCTGGAAGAGTCAGCATGCGCTGGTATGCCTGTCACTGAAGTGCTGTTCGAGAAAAGTGGGCATGTCGGACATGCGAAAGAAGAGCCGAGACGGTACTGGGATGCTGTTTTCGCGACATGGCAAGACGCACAAATCATGGAGAAGGAAAACGTGTATGCCAACTTCTCCGAAGCAGAATTTTTGGTGCTAGATCTGCCGAAATTTCCGGACTTTTCTAAACAGAGGTGGAGCAACGACGGTTTCCAACGCCTTTCCTGTTGAGCTGTATTGTGGTGAATGGGGAATTAATTCGCTGATCGCTCCTACCTGGTTCCGATCCTATTCCACAAATCTAATTTCTTTGTCTTTTAAAACGAGCTCGTCGCAATGAACCGCCTCTCATGCGTTATGGTACTACTTCTGCTATCCCTTTTAAAGCCACACTAAACACCGCATATGGTGGACTGCCATTGAAGAAAACGTTTTCTTTGTCATACTTTCGTGTCGATCATCAACTCAGCGCGGCTTCCAGTGTTCAGCTAGTCGTCAGATTTGCACACACCTGGGCGTCCGGGACTTCTACGGTTATCGTTGAAGGATTTGTTAAAATGCAGATCGATAAGACATTGAGGTGGTACACCATCAACCGGGTCACTGGGCCATTACCGCTAGTGACCATCGCGGCCGGATTTGCCTAGCGTGAGATCTAGCGTGGTAGTGGCTTTCAGCCTGACGCTGCGTGGCTGCAGCAACAACAACTTATTCCTTTGCGTGTATTTCAGGTTCAATAATCATGCTGCAGGCAAAAAATCGGTACGCCGATGGCTTCGCTGCACACTATTACCCAAAGGCTTCCTTGCGAGCCATCGTCAGCTCGGAGGCTCCAAAGGACTCGTTGTAGGCGGCCGTGTTCGTGTCACCCTGGTCGGACGATACAACTATATGAGACTGTCTGCAGTCAGCTGTCGTCATAGTATCCACACAGCCTGAGATCGTTTTATGAAGGCCAACCCAAAGCTTATGTTCGGCCGTCAAATCGCGATCGGCTCAGCCACCACCTGCATGACCCAGCGGACAACACATCAAGAGTGCCACACCTCGTACCAGGCTTCCAAGTGGCAAAACAGAAGGAATAAGGTCACTGGACAGTTGGCGCTGCATGTAAGATCTATTCAGACCCCACATTAAAATAGGTACAGCACTACCAAATTCGCATGTGAAGGGAAGCCTACTTAACCTCGTGGGGATTGGTATACCCCAGGGCATCTACGATGCACATGTGATATTATCGCAGGAAACAGAAATTGGCGTACGAGCGGCATCGAAGTGCATACGTATGCAAGTGTGAAGATTTAAATGACAAGTACAAATCTGCGTCCATGGTGAAATTATGCCATCTGATCCAGTATTTACGTACAAATCGTCACAGCAGACAGACGAGGTGGTAAAGGGTGATCAACGAGTGTTGGGTCATGTTGGAGCTCAGCAAAGCCGAAGTTTGGGTAGCGGTTTAGACCAATGCAAGGTGAACACACGTATATATATACATATAGTTGTCCGTCCAAGTAACACGGACGCATGCTACCACCTTCCCTGGCTTCGAGCAGCCATCAACATGTACTGCATCGTTTGCTGCCTCTGTAGTTCTTGAACCTTGCTCAATGTCAACGTCGAGTAACCCACCGCAGGTCTGCAAGCTAACAGCGATAATCCATCGAACCACCGTAGAGCCTCCCACGCCTCCTTTCTCCATTCGATGTTGCTGTCCCCCAGAGCAATCTGATCAGTAGCTATCTTCCCCAGAGCAGCCAGCAACGAGGGCAGCGGCGGTAGTCCAATACCCCCTTTGTATTGTCGAGACCGAACAATCTCCCGAGTAACGAGTACGATAGACTTGTATGCGTCGATATGAGACACCCGTCCAGGTACAAATAGTCGTTGCGCAATATGATCGCACTTAACCATCATAGAAGCGTCGATCCACTCCGTCTTGTGGTCACAGTCCACCCAACGCCAACGACCATGCAATAGCTCGAGACAGCCGGGATCTTGCTCTTTAAAACCCGAACGGCTTATATTCAGTTCTTGCATCCACAAAGGCTTAGTATCGCTGGCACCCCCCTGAAGTTGGCTTGTGGAGAGATGATGATTGTCAATAAGAGAATGCAGAAGCGGGAACATGGAAGCGTGCGGAAAGGACGTTATACCAGTATTGAGTACTTGGAGTACATGGTATACGTCAGGAATAGCTCCGAACTTGAGCAAGATCTTTACCACTTCTTGATGATTGCGTTGGATTGCAATGTCTAGAGGATCAAATCGAGGCAGCCAGACATCGGTGCCCATAAGAGCTTCTGCGACACTCACGATACCCTGTTCCAGGAGAAAGCGTATGATTTCGATATCGCCATCGCGGAGAATCTCGTGATATGCGGCGAGAACTTCCGGGTCCATCTTGAGCATGTGCTTCGGGCGCTGGTCTTCCTTGAGAAAGTGCTTGATGCAGTTCAAGTTTTGGCTCTCTATAGCAAGGCGGAGGAAATCAGGTCGATCTCGTTGCGCGAGACGAACGAAGCGTGTTCGTAAGAATTCGATCAACTTGTTTGCTGCTCGCAGGTGACACCGCCTCATGGCTGCCTTGATGGCTTCTATGATGACATAGAATTTGTCTTCACACTTACACTCGGTTGTGGTATTGGAGTAATCGTGGACAGGGGCGTAATGCTTGCAGCTTTTGTTGTCCGTCTCCAAACCCATCTTCACTTTGGCAAGCAGATACTCAATCATTACACTCTTGCCTGTGCTAGCTGCGGCTTCAAGTACGCTAGGGAGATGATCAACGTGATAGCCGAAGTGCTGTTCGAGGAAGTCCGTGGTGTGGTTCAAGAAGTGTGCGACGGCTTTGAAGTTGCCGACTGCTGCTGCCCCAGCTAGAGCGTCCGAAAGGGGAATTTCTGGGTCGACAATCCGGGGATAAGCCGCT